AAGCTAGTTCCTATTACTGTACCGCCGAACGTCGGAAGCACTTATCAATAGAAGGAAAGATAGATCACAGCACAGATTGTAGGAAAGAATACATGCACTGTACAATGTAGATACGGACCTGATTGCATCAGAGAACACCCCATTTACACTAGCAGCGGATGTTAGTCCACTTCTCGTCCACGAATCGTGGAATGACCGATGAATACACACAGGACATAATGTTACATGAAGTCTGTACACGTCTGTACACGTCTGTATACGTACATTTACATTTACATCAAGTACTGTATGTGTATGTGAACAAGTAGTTAACAGCCATCAATAGGTCGTCAAGCTAAATCGCTGCAGATCACATCGTCCCAAGTCATTGCCATACACCGTACCAGGAAGACTCTTTCAATCGCAGACTACAGTACAGTACTGTACAGCACTGTACTGTAGTTCGATTCGGCGAAGTAATTCCTGGGAAAGACTACGGTGTTGAATTTAACGGACTTGATCCAACTGCTTTTTAACGCAGATGTAACACTCTAAAGTCTATTTCATGAAGTCCTCCTAGGATTCGGAAGCCTCTTTGTGGCGGACTGGAACACCAGAACAAAGCTGGGGACCTGCTGCATATGCAGCATATACAGTACATACCAAATACAGCATACATGTATACAGCTGTAGCATACTCCACTGCTCTTGTTCTCTCCTTTCGCAAGATTCGGGCTTGATCGTGGGGTGATATTATGGGACATTGTCGGTGCCTCCTGAGCATACAGTAGTTCAGCTGTCAACTTTCAACGCGGGTATGTATTCTCTTCCCTGCAACAAAGAAATTAGCACAGTGTGTGGCACTAGAATAGACTAGATCTGGACACACAACATGCGGTGGGATTGCCATAATGCATGTACATGTATGATGCTATCATCTGCTCACACCTAAATTCAATTTAGTTCCTTCAAGCAAATGTTCCTGCGTGGTTGTCACAGGAATTCCGCGTGACTGGGTTCTTAGAAGGGAGGTATGCATGGACGTGTACATGTAGTCGTGTGGAGATGAGAGTAAGGGAATGCGGGACCACATGCCTGGGCCAAAGGGAGCGTGTCCGCGTCTGGCGTGTGGGCCCCACCACTACACGAATAGTAACATAGGCACTAAAACCGCTGTGACGGGACAACCAGGAGGATAGTGACTGGCGGAATCAGTCACACAGGCGCTCTCTGCTACCATATGTCGGCATTGGCACGCACTGTGCCCTGGGAGCCAGCATTGCTGCTCTCTATCTTCTCCACAAGAGAGACACACTGACCACAAGCGCGAAGTTCCCAAGTGTTCCGATATGGCTACTGATCGCAGGCGGTCTGCTCACAAAAAAACACATACATACGCACATCACACATGCCCTACAATTTTGTGAACGTCCAACAAGACAGTGACAGCAAGGTTATGATGAGGTCGGGCTGCTTGACTGCATGCAGTCGTGCTGGGACATGACTTCACGGCCGCGCGGTAATATTGGTAAAGCGGGGCGAACAGGAACGGAAATAGGATTGCGAGACCATGACACAGTACAATGGTGATTACTTGGAAGTACATCATTCTGTACCTGTTGTGGTCATGCTAGACCGGCAGCTGCACTCTAGATGAGTGTGCACTGTGCACTGTGCATGCAGTGCTCTCCGCCATTCTCAACCCCTATTATTGTATACTTAGTATTCATGTTGATTGATAGGTAGCAAAATAGTGCTGGCGTGTGTCTGGAACACGCAGTTGGTGATATGGTTCGTTAGCAGATCACCAGTGCCAACAGCTTGGGACGCACACGGCAGACTGGTAACATCGCAGTGTGCTGGATCTTGAACACTGCACTAAATAAATCATGACATATTTCCAAGGCGCCCATCTCTCAATATGGGCAGACAGACTCCACTGAAGCCATCCATTATAATAATAACGGTTAAACCTTACGATATGCTTGGACTTCTTGGAGAGTGTTGAGAGGATGCGCATGTACATGAATGGTTCTACATTGTATTTCCAAGGCAGTCAGCATAAGACAATGCACTATGTAGTGTTGACTGATACATGTACGTGTACATGTACATGCTCCACGATGCCTTCCAGTGTACACGTTCACTACAGTGATAATATTAACCACTGTGAACAATTCCCAGTGACAACCAAACACTACTTGAATGTACTCTGCTTCCACACAAGAGTTTGTAGGATGGTTCGCACAAATAGTTTGCCCGCACAAGAGGCTTTGCTGCTAAACCACCACTTTGAAGTATTACTCGCGGTGTTTGGAGAGTGTCTACTCACTGACATACAGCTAGAACGACAGCGTACACCTGTCTGTATACTGCTGCTCAACCAACACCACGATTTAGTACTGATACAGCCTGCAGCACATTGGCTGGGAGCCATTGTGCATACTGTGCTCCCTGGCCTGCACAGTGATCGCCGACAAAGGATACAGCGCGCCGCACTGTGCTCTGCCATCCGAAACCACAAGGCAAGTGAGAGAGAGGGCAGCTGGAGCACATTGTTCGGCTAAAGTAGCAGTTACTGTTACTGCACACACCCCCAGCCACTTGCACAGACACTTGAGCAAAAGGGTAAATATGGGAAAGGAAACAGTGACTGGAATTGGAAGGGCCGGAGTGGAGATCAACATGCTGTGCCAGGCACAGACAGGCTATGGCACTAGTATGGGAGTATGGCTATGGATGGCTAGGCACTGGACTGCAGGAAACGCTATTCAGCTCAGTGCCACAGTGGCGTACTCCACGCGGGAAAAGTACTTGATTGAGACGGTTCGACGGTGCTATTCATGCCAGCTGTGCATGTTCAGTGTATGTCGTCATCAGCCACACCAACTGTCAAGACTGGGTTCTATTGCAAGAAGGAAAATGAGCGCTTGGGGGTTGAAGCAAAGGATAACGGCTGCAGAGTGAGGCTCCCTGATAGTTGGTGCATCCAGGAAAACACTGTGGTCTCCCCGTGAAGGAATGTATCTTAACTCGACAAGCATATCCAGGACCTAGGCGGGGACCTGACCCACTATGCACTTAACCAGGGTGCCCCTACTGCACTCTTCAGCCATACATGACGTACATGTACACAGCATTGTATCCCCTGATTGGCAAGACGTTCAAGAGAAGAAGTGCCAAGTATCAGTGACGCAGCGTTCCTGCGAAACCAAAACAAAAACACGGGCTGTATGAACATGGACATGGGCTGGATGAGCATGGATTCTCAGTCTAGAACTTAGAAGTGCCAACAGCAACCGGTTCCACCATCACAAAGACAACCCAAACCAGTTGCTCGGCGATGCTAGGCCAGGGTACTGCTGGTACCAGGGTAGAGGGAATGAGGGAAACAGGAACAATGGAAGGCTCCAGATTGGCATGTGCACTCTGCGAGCACTTGACATGGCCTGGAGCAGAGCCGCCTGCAGAGGCTTGGTGGAGTGAGCGAAAGTTTGCCCAAACCCCAGCGTTCCAGGAGAGATGAGGCAGGTGCTTTGTTCAACTAATTGTAGGATGCGATTGGCATCATCACTCTGGACCATCTTACACGTTTTAAGCTAGTTTGTATCCTCTTTCACACCATCATGATCACCCGACCACAGATCACTGACACTGATCGCTGGATCATGGAAGAGCCATTCACACACTGGACAATCAGCCACAGAGCATACACGGCATACTCGGCAAAACAGGTTTTGAACAGCGTGAAACTTAGTTTCGTTTCATCAAACTGAGTTTCCGAGAGTAATCAAGCGTTCTAGAACAGAGGACAGGTTGCTCCCACTGTGCATGTACTTCACGAGATTGGATCTGTTCACTCTCAAGGACTCCATGAGGACCTGGGATTAACGATCGAGTTACGGAGTGGCCAATACTTGGCACACGCAAACTCTACGTCGTCGATGCCAAGTGGTTGCTCCACGACCTCAGATCAGCTACTAGTATGCACGGACTACATCCATGCATCAGCTATGCACGGACTGCATCCATGGAGCATCGCCACGTGAAAGCTGCAGCAGTGGCAACAGAGCCCTCCCGAATACAACGACTAGCGGTCAATGGTAGCGACAGAAACGACCAGCCTGGATCAGCTGGCCTACGCGGTTCACGCAGGCACCTCGTAGATCTGTTTATTGAACAACTTTTAAATTAACCCATACTCCATGGAGCACAACATGTATGCTGAAAACCTCTGTCACAGGAAATGCCCTTTCATCATTCAGCACTGATCCACCTTCTGAAGCCGTTGCGGCTACACTGCGCCGCGGTACATGACTGTACACCAAGGACGGCTATAGACACTAGACTGTAGACAGTTGAACATGGACACCCCATGACTGAACGCCTGGAGCAAGGGTAAGACGCTAGAGCCGCTTTTGAAACAGCCAAAAACGACCAGGGAGTGTAACCGACCAGTTGGCCCCGAATCAGCTGTCTGCAAAATGGCACGTACATGTATACTGAAGTGGGAATACAGGATTTCAAGCAACACGCGTACCATTATTGAAATGCGTGTGATATTCTGAAAACACCAACAGGCTTGCAATTTTGCATACATGCCCTGTGAATAACAGTGTGACGGTAACACACGGAGTCATGAAAGTACGAAGCTAACACCAAAGATGTCATGACTGTAACTTATCGAGTATACAATACATGTACATGTGATTGTGCACCACAGGATAACGTCATTCTGCGACTATCACCATACAATGATACAGTACAGTAGAACTGGATGAGAGAGCTACTTTTAAAATCTTTACACTGTACTGTGTAAGTGAGTAGGAACGACGTACTAGTATTGTGTAGTAAAGCTTACAGCATGAAAGTGTGCCAACACGACCAGTATCTGCACTAACACTGGTAACAGTACTGCAGATACCACAGAGGCCGCGTGGTGTCAAGGATAGCGCCAGTAACACTAACGAACTTTAGCAGTAACAGCTCTAGTTTAGTGTGTAAGTCCCATCGCCACCTCGTGCTATGGGCATGCCGCAAGGTCCAGTGGTAAGCTTAGCATAAGACCCGGGCACCAGCAGACGTGGCTATGTATATCACCATCGCCTTTTACTGGAACTAAGTCTTGAAGCTGTAAGTGGAGTGGTGAGACGCGCCCTACAAGTACAACTGCAGCAGAACTAGCGCTGAGAATATTGCAGCACAGATTGGCAAGCAGAAATCCATTGTATCCCCTCGCCAGCCGCTCACAAAAAGTTGTACATTCCAGGGAAAGGATAGTCAAACCAGCCGGCCAGAGGGACTCCATTGCAGATGGATTCCGTCCACACTGGAGATAGCCAGTGACACTTGTAACTGTTGCAGGTCGGATTCCCAGGAACCTGCACTGACTAAGTATGCTGCAAGCAGCCCATCAGGGGCAGTAGAACTATAAGTGTACTGTAAACAACTAGCTGTTGTGTGATAAATACGCGAGTGAATCAACTGCTATCGGCTGGTATTCGTGAAGAGCAATACAGAGCAAGCAGAGTAGCAGTTCTGGGGATTGAGAGAAAGGGCCTATCTGTTCCATGTCTCCTGGCATTCTCACAACTAGTATCTGCATCTGGATCCTGTCAGTACCAACGTGGTTTCTTCGGACAAAGGTGAGTTTCTTACGCAGTAGAGTGCACGCTTTCATTAAGTTAAGTACTTGTATTATTTTAGTTCTTCGTTTATAATGTGATAAGAAATACTTAAAAAAATATTTCTGGCATGTCGGAAAGCCACCATGACAGCATCCAGTAGGTACGCCATTTTCGTTTAGGTCAACCTTCTTGCCAACGTTGTGTAGTCGTGTGCTCATGCAACCCATTTTTCGCCTACCTGGCCTAAGCAAAGAGATAATACAACGTTGCGTTCAAAGATAGTTACACGTGTTGAAGATGTCAACTAGCACAGCTCGAAACTCTAGAGTTGCCGTTCGTTATTTTAGGAATAAATCACTGGGACAAACGTTTAATCCACCAGCACGGGTAACGTTATTGTCTCATTATACATGTACATGTATACACCAGTAACACAACATTCTGGCTTCGAAGCGCGTCTTCCACTCTCTGTGTAGTGTCTGTGTACTTTGGGTGTGGAGCCGTGAGGGCAAGTATTTTAAAAGTTAAAAACAATCGTTTTATTAAATAGCCAGATTGAAATAACTGTCGTATTACACGACCCTAGGCCCTGTAGGTCTAGCACAGGAAACCACGAAATATTGGCCAAGCTGCAAGAAGACACCACACAATGCAAATCCGCTGTCTCGCAGTGAAGTTTTGGTGCATATCCTGCACTGTTGGAGCCCCTGGTGCCAGAGAGACGCCTAGGAGATGCCAGAACTCGAAGCAAGCACATGGCTCCGCGTCTACCAAAACAGCAGCGGAGACAGGCGGCTGGTGTATTTTCGCCAGTGGAAGGTGGCCAGTGTCCAGTGTCCAATGGATCTTCACCGTCCAATGCTGCTTTGTGCGCACAGATGTTAGTGGAGGGGTTTGGGCGTACACGACCTGCTCGATAGCATCTTGCCACAGAGGAAATACGAGAAAGGAAATTTAAGAATAGATAGAGCAGTTCAAGGATTTGGGTGAGAGGGGCACCACGCCACAGTAGAGGGAATTCGCAGGATTATAATATCGATTGTTGTCCGTGGACACTGGACAGTGCTATGTTAGCACAAAGTCGTGTATAATACTAGTCAGTAAACTAGAATAGAACTGGAAGGTCACGTGTGACTGTGATGCAAAGCTCCCGACTCAAGAATACTGATACATCGGAAGATTGTAAAGTGCAGTGGTTGCGTACGTAAGTGTCAGTGAATGCCCATACATAACGACGTTACGTAACGTTACACGCATCCCTCCATACAGAGCGTTTTTTTCTCATACAGAGCGTCATCATGCCATACATGTACAGGGAAAGCTGAGGCGACATACACTGTACATGTACATGACTGTAGTAGAGACTAAAGACTAGACGGTATTCAGCAAAAGTGACCACGTGACCGGCAGGTGAGCATCACCCATAAACTCATTGATATTCTTCTGCAGAAACCAGTGCATGTCTGTCAATGAGTGATCAACACAATCATTATAATATTGTACGATTGAATTCGGAAATACATTGTACAATCGAAGAGTAGGTCACAACAGCAGTCGTCTACCTCGCCCTTTGTTTAACAGTGCCCTCTACAATACACATGGGCATAGAGCATTACACTACATTCAGTGGGCAAACACATGCAGACCTACACTGCACATGTATCCCAGGAGCAGTGGCTAGGAGAGGGGGGGCATCACAGGACAATTCCCTTTGCCTACATTACAAACACAACACACGCACGCACACACACACACACGCACACACACGCACACGCACGGGCCTGCGCTCCAACCAGCCTACTCCGACTAGCCGGCATATCTGTAGACTAAACATTGCAAAAAGACAGGGACTAGAACTGGAAACTCGCCCCTAGCCATAGACATACATAGACATACACGCAAAACACGCAAAGTGTGTTCTAAGGCGGAGGGAGGGGACGGAATGGAAAACAGATAAGTTGAGATAACATCGTATCACGTGTGTACATGTATAAACTAGAATCATTATAGCCACACTCGTGCACTAAATAGATAGCGTGTACATGCGCTACAGACCTAGACCGTAGTAGACGTCGTTACGCCATACCGCCATACGTAACTGTTCTTGATCGCCATCAAAGGGAGCGTGTAGCCAACCACAAACAAATGCCCTAAAGGCAATAGAAGTCGTATGGTGTCTGTTACGAGTGCCTCAGTAACGTAACTTGTATTTTGGTGTGAAGACCTCGTCATATCACCGTTGTGCAATACTAACACATACTCATAGGAAGTATATTGCCACCGCCGCCGGCAACAACAAGAGTTTAGAACAAAGCTACTACTGCCAGTACTGGTGTGAAGAAAAGTCCCCGGTTCTGTTTGCAGTGCGTGGGACACGGAGTCCAGGGATATCTGGGATAACTCATTACACGATATTAGTAATGTGTAGGAAGCTATTGTACAATCATAACTCATACGTCCTGTACATGTAGAACGCTGGGATTTGTACGACCAGCATTATGCTACGCCAGACAAGCACACAACACACATCCTTGACGTTTTCTACGTCCTGATTGCATCACGACTCTCCTCTGCCCTCCCGTTTGTATTCAACCCGGGTCCCGGGACCCCGACGAACTCACAATACACAAGAACTCGTGACGCTGCATACAAGCACACCTAACACCTAACCAGCTGTACCAAGGCTAGAAGTAGAAGCGTTGGCGGGGAGGAAAAAAACTTTGGACGCGTTCTACTAACGCCACTGTCGAGTGGAAGACAGGAAGCACACAGGAAGTGTGCGGGCAACGGCAAACACCAGCACGGTTCACAGCAGCTGCTGACGCTCTATCCGACCACTCAAGCATTTCCCACAACACGACATGTACATGTACATCATCCAGTTGACTTTCTCCAAAAGACGTTATGCGAAGCATCTGGCTAACACTCTTCCACAGACACCAATCCCCTGTTGGTCAGTCCGCCGCCTGTCACCCAGGGGCATACAGAAACCAGTCATGACCAGCAGTTGTGTGTGTGTAGCTTTAGGCCATTTCAAACTGCTCATGTGGGACGGCAGCTAGTGAACTAGCTGAAGCAACAGACCTGGCCGCCCACATGGTCACCACGTCAGGGTTACGTGGGCGGCGGGTGCATGCTGGGGCTAAAGATAGATGTAGGGTGGCCGTGGGTGAACAGGAACGCACAGTTTCCAGAAGCTCTACGCAAAGGAAAGGAAGAGGCAGTGCGAAACATATCAATACCATCCCAATACATGTATACTGTGAGAAATGGACGACCTCAGTACCCCCCCCCCCCCCCCCCTCCCCTCATAAACATGATTGTACAATGACATAATAATATGTGCTTGTCGTAAGTAAATGCACATGTACACACTGTACATGAACCTGGGTTTTAGAAGGCGATTTGCAAGACTTCAATTCTTGATAAACACGCTTACACGTGAACTGTACAGTCATGTACATGTACATAATTGTACGTGTGTTCTTCGAATGTTCGTGAATATTCTGCATCGCACATACACGTACATGTACATGTACATGACAACTAATGCATGTAGTACTAACACTAACAGGCTGCTAATTAAAGTCGGGGGTTCATAAGAAAAGGCAACACTGGGTTCAACCGAACAACAATCCGCGGCAGGATGTCACACATGGTGCACTGACACGACAAAGGCGTCTTCAGTTGGTTGAGAGCTGCAACAGCTGTAACACCACTGTTGCAGAAGAAGGGCGAAATCACGGAAAAGGCGGTGAAGACAAAACACGGGTTCAAGTATTAGCTAAGTGTAGACAACAGACTGGCAGTTGTCTTGATAACTAACACATTTGCACATGGTCACAATGCTCTTTTCACGCGGATCGCCTCTCTCCTGGCTGAGAAGAGCAAGGAGCCATACGCGCAGGTTACCTCCTTGCTGCGCTGCCGCCTTGGGTTTGTCCTGGTGCGTTGTGGTGCCATGTGCGTGCGTGGCTCAAGGAGCATGTTTGCTCCTGCCGTGCCTGAGTCCCCTGCTGTGCTAGTGCTAGTAGTGGTGGCGCAGGCACGCATCCAGTGAACCTGCAGTGATCCTACTGAGTGACAGAGTCTGATAATGATTACATTACTGTATCTGATGATTCGTTTTATGTAATTATTGTGTTGATTCTTCACAAATTTGTTATTTTGCCCGTACAAGAGGCTCAAGGAGTTATTAGTAATTCCTAAAAACAAAAACAAATAGTAGAGATACATTGTACATGTACATTGTAGATGTACATGATCAATGTCCAAACAATGACATGTACATGCTTCCGTCCGCCCAGCCGTGATTGTGATTTTACGATTGGTGTAATGTTGTTCTTCGGATATTGAAATTTATTTTAAAAATATAAGAACCCGTACAATGACAATTATGTATACGTACACACATGTACATGACCGCTGATTGTAGCCTGGGAGTGGGAGAGTCCCGTCCACCAAAATACAATGTACAATGCACATCTACTATTGTACATGTACATGCGACAGCTTCCGGACATATACATGATTGCACATGTCTACTCCACAGACAATCTAATCAAATCTACTTGCACGGAATCCCTCCACATGATGCACCAACAACAGTGTGTCATGCGCCATTACTGTCTGTAGGCCTGGACTCTGGCCAACACGGCAAACATTTAACAGCCGCTCAGGATATCCTCCTCCTTGCACTGAAAACGCGGCAGGAAAGTGCCCTGGAAACATCTGCAACTGCAAGCAGATGGGACAGTGGGTATGTGCGGGATAGCGGCCCATACATGTACATGACGTGTACAGGTATACAAGTGGCTTCAGAGGTTCCAACTACAGTGCTGTACTTACGGTACATGTATCCCCAAACTAAACTGAAAATGCGGATCGTATTCGAAGGCCTACATGTACAATGTACATCAATCTGTGGAAACAGGACTCTCAGGGGGAAAATCCCACCTGACACTCACCCTTGGGATGACAAGAGTCTCTTTCGCGAACGGCTATTGAGTTATACTGGT